ATATATAATACACAATGAAAAGGTTGCCAAAATATTACTTTTACTTCAACAAAAAAATGTTAATGTTTTAGCATGGGTAAGCATAAGCTTTAAACATAAACAAAAAAAAAAAAATGTTTATAAAAAACAAGTTTTTAGAAACATCTGAGATTATGATTGATGAATACGATTGTTCACCGTTAACTTAACAACCGTTAGTTATGCGAATAGCATGGATAATTTCAATTTCCTTTTATTTACATACAATATATAATTTTATTTCGATATTTTTTTTTTGTTTTGTTGGTTTTTTTTTAAGTTCTTACAAAAAAGAAATGCAGTAATAAACTGACGCGCATGCGCATTACAATTACAATTGTTACAATGAAATATCATTTACGCGTCTTATATAATAATTATGTTTTGAAACAAACAGTATAACATATAATAAAAAAAGTAATAATCAAATATTCTAATAATTAAAATAGAACATCGAAGAAGAGAAACATTGCAAACGACATTTTTGTTTTTTGTGTTTTTTAATATCGGCTTTCAAGCCGATTGGGTAGTTGAACATGCCAAAAGGAACGAAGAATTTATATTTTTGTTTTTTTTTTTCTTTGTATTTACTTGCTAAGAAAATTTAAATACAAAAATCGGTGCGCGCTACGGTACTTTACAACTATAAAAAATATAATCTTTCAGTATAGAAAAAAAGTTGAACACAAAAATTTATGCATTTCCAATTTACTATTGCGCGCTCGGTTCGCGGCTTTATGCGTTTGTGTATCGCTTTGCTTTGTTTCTGTATTTCGATGAGGCTAACTACTTTACACGGTAACTGATGTAGTGAAAACTTATAGTACAAGTGGATAAACAAAAATTCTGCTTTGCTCTTTCAATTGTGGTTGTCTTTCTAGCATCTGTTGTTGTTATTGTTGTATTATTAATAAATAAATCACTATTGTTTCCAGAACAAAATTAAGATTAGAACTGCTTCGCTTTTGCTTCAAACGTTAGGCGTTTAGGCGCATCAACAGATCGTGGAAAGTTTGCATGCATTTTTGCATTGGTTTCGCGAGCATTTTTGTTTAGTATACTCCTAGTACAATGGACAGCGACTTGTGGGACAGTTTCTAGAAAGGCCGAAAATGTATTTCCATAATCTCATCATCGGACGAGGACGATTCGCGCTGAGCTTGCTCATTGTCGTCGCCGTCGTCGTTGTCATCGCTCATGGACGAATGTGAGTTGACGTCTACCCAACCATCATTGTCGTCGTCATCACCGTCGTTGTTGTCGCTGTCATCATCGCTGTCCATATCTTCGTCGTCGTCGTCGTCATCGCCGTCCGAACGATTGCGTCGCCGAACACGAAGCTGACCTTCGCTCATATCAAAAACTGTAAAACAAAATTAGTTATTATTCGCAACGCCGCATAACTGTATGTGTGGCACTCACTGTCTGTTGAATCGCTGTCCGAACCGTCCTCATCAGACTCAGGCTCTTCATCATCTTCCTGAAAGCAGAGATAACCAATTATTCATAATCGCATCGATGAGGTCTTGTGCTGCTGCGTCAATCCCAGCGCCGAGGCCGGCGCGCAGCGTGTTGCCATTAACAGCCAGGGCTCCGCCGACGCCGCCGCCAACGCCGCCGCCGGCACCACCGCCGATCGCTCGGCCTGCAACAGCTCGGTTGTTGCGATTGGTGCGGAACGCATTACTACCCGCACCACCTCTGCCTGAGGCTGCTGCTGCAGCTGGTGCTAATCTGGCGCTGCGTGCACCGCCAGCGGCACTGGGACGTGGCGCAGCATGACCATTGCTACCGCGACCGATCATTACACCGACGCCGCCATTGCCACTGGCGGCCGCGGGCAACGCTGAGCCGCGAAAGCTCACGATGATCTCTTCACCACCGCCGCCGCTACCGCTGCCGCCGTTGTGTCGCCGACTTGCGTCGATGTCGATATTGATTTCGCGTATGCGTCCAAAACGACGAATATGATCACCGGCCCGACGATTGTTAACTGCGTCGGCGTTATCGTCATCGTCGTTCTGGTTGCGTGCAGGTGCAGGAGGAGGGCCTCTACCGCCACCGCCACCTGCTCCTCCTACACCACCACCACCACCACCACCACCATCATCATCGTCGTCAACATCAATATTTATAATGGCGTTATTGTCGTCGTCGTCATAGTCGTCAGCGTCCGCATGCGCCGCCGCACGTTCGGCGCTATTACTTGCGTCATTACCGACGCCGACGCCCATGCCTGACGCGTCGCCATGACGCACCTCATCTTGATTCTCGACCTTCTTCATGCCCACAGCATAGATTTTCACGAACGTCTCCGGCCGCGAGTCGAACGCCGGCTGGTTCTCCACCAGCGCAATCAGACTGCCATTATCGCTAATGCTCATGTCGTAGATGCCGCGTCGCACGTCTATCGTCGATATCGATGAGTAGTCGTACGCGTCCAGGACCTTAAAGCTGGTCTCGCAGGCGGGCAATTCCTCCAGCATCGCATCGATGCGCTCATCGGACGCTTCCGCGTTGTAGCTGTAGATGACGCGCATGGGCGAGAATTTCAGGAAACACTGATCCAGCACTGGTACCGTCTGCAGCAGATGGAATGTGCGCAGATCCCACACTTCGGTGTTTGAAATGATCTGCAATCCAAAGCGGTTAGTCGGTTAGATGTGAACGAATAAGGAATAGAAATAATAAGGGGACACAATACCTCCAAACCATTCGGATGGAATACGCCGGAAAGACATTGATTGAGCTTGTCGAACTTGTGTATCTCCTTGCCGGAACGCACATCCCACAAGACGCCATCTGAAAGCCGAGACCGTTAGTGTTTAGGACGAACCTTTGAGCGCGGCGTGGAACTTACCTGACAGAATGAGTTCGTCGGTGGGACAGAAAGTGGCACGGTTCTTCACATACTGGTTGCTGAGCGTTGGTGTGAAGGTGGAAATCTTATTTCCCGTATTTATGTCGTAAATGATGGCGCACTATGCATAAATTGGAAAGAACCAAAGTTAAATTTAAGAAAGTCAAAAATTTAATCAAAAGTACTGGACTCACGTCATTTTGCGTGCCGAGCACTTTGTCCTGCGTCAGGTTGTTGAATTCGCAATAGTAGTCGTCGCCAAAGCTGAGCTTCGTCGCGAACTCGTTATGTTGTATAGACCAGAGCACGCTGAGCGGCGAGCGCCAAGAG